TATGTTTCAAACCACTCAAAGCAATGAGTTAGACTGGATTTTTTAATTGAACAATGCCTTTTCATTTTTTGTAGGTTTCAAAATAAATCTCTAAATTGACAGCATAACAATGAAGATCAGTATGGATTTTGTTTAATTGTAATTCTAAAGAAAAACTCCACAGAATTAATGTCTTATAATATAAGTTATATATTTCCCTTGATCTGGACACTGAAATGTGGATATAAAAAGGATACATGCTAATTATGTCTACTTTGCTCTAGTCTGTGATTGTAGACTTGGGAATCCCAAACTGATATCCCCATGCCTCTCCAGATTGCATCCCTTCTCAGTGTTTGTGTTGAAACTCCCATTAAAACTATTGATTCAGAAAAAAAACACATTGCAGTTGACAGCCTGAATTCTTCACAGAACAACTAACAGCCGTCTCTTTGCAGCAGAGGGGTCACATTTTCTATGGGCTGAATTTAGGAAATGTTAAAGGGCAGGTTGAGTATAGTCCTTATCAAAAGTGTTCTATAGCAAATGATTATTGCAGCAGCATTTTGACCCTGAAGCATGATGTACACAGATGTAAGACAGCTAAACATGGCTTGGCTGGGTTAATACTGCGATGGGAGACTTCCTGAGAAAACTATGTTGCACCCTTTCTCTGGACCAGAATTTCCAAAACGAGTGCACCCGAATGGTGACCAGGGATACTGTGATAAGGTACCATCCTTCACATGAGACTTTATACTGAGGTCCTGACTTCCTTGTTAATAAATATCCCATGGCAGTGTATGTGGTAGAAGTATTTACTCTTGGTTGCTTTTAATTCAAGCCTGTACTGTCCATACTTTCCAAGATATCCAGAAGAAGTGAGTCTTGCACTCTTCGTGCATCAGTTTCAGATATTTTAGGATTAAAAGAACAATGCCATGCATATAAGTTTTGTTATCTCAGTTACACCATTTTTTTATGTTAGCCTTTTTGATTTTGTTTGGACCATAAATGATAAGTGCTGTAATGGGAATAAAACCACTTCAATTTGTGTCTGTGTGACAAAGATTACACATTGGCTTAAGATATTGAATGTATCATTGTGTCATTTATAGCTCTTAAAGTGATGGGGATGTCCTTTATGATGGGTATCTCGTAAATGTTCGTTATGTTTGGTAATGCCATAGAAACCCACAAGGAAATGACAACGCTGAGATTGTCTCAGGCCACGGATGGTCAAAATTCCCCTGTTGAAAGGAAAAAGAGATAAACCTCAGAGAAAGGAACTGAGCTGTACCACATGTACTTCCAGCCATTACCAAAGGATGTGTGGTGAATGGACTGTGCTCAAGCCCTGCAGTGCACAGTCATATTTCCTTTCTTTTTTAACAGACAAATTTCCTTCTGTGGGGCAAATGACATTGACAAAACAAAAATAGATGCATCCTGAAAACTGAACTGATAGGAAATATGATTAAGCAATACATTAGTACTTTAGTAGTATTAAAGTGTCTTGAAGAACTTTTTTACTGTTCAGGTAATCCAAAAAATGTAATTACAGAAATGTAATTTTGTGATACATGAAAAAACCCAATCAATTTGAAAATTGCTATGGGTCGCTGTAGTATCTGTGAGACAAAATCATTTTTTCTGGTCCATTCACATGTGATTGTATGTTCTATTGTGTGTTCTCTTTAGAAGAGATATTTGCTTTGTGATCATGTTTGTGTTTAAATTTTGTTTTAGGCAGGTCCATTATGTATCAGAGTGAAATGAAAGCAGGTTGCATGAGAAACCACAAAAGCAGGTTGCATTCAATTACACAGAACTAAAGGGAGTCAGAAAGTGTTTTTCATCCAGTCATGGAGAAATAGGCCTTGATGTGTTACAGTTGCAAAGATAATGCAATGTTCCTGATTGGTTTATAATTGCCGTCTTTGCCTAAAAGGTTGGGATATTTTAAGAATGCTTTTTTTTATAGGAAAAAGAATGCAAACCCAGGAAATTTCACTGGGAAATTGCAGCCACAAAAAGCACTCAACTCTTTAGAATAACACCGTCTGCCTCAATTATTTTCATACTTGCCCTCACCCTATAAGGACTATTTTGTAGTCTTTGTGATGTCTTTGACATTGGCTTGACAAAGTTTCAGGATATGAGGGAGGTTTAACTTGCTGTGGGCTTTCCTGTTGTATACTGTATAGATGCTGTTCATTCCTTTATGTGGTACCATAGTGCACTACTTTACTTATTCCGCAGTGGATGATTAGATAGTTTCAACTATTGCCACAAGCAGTCTGATTTCTTCTCTTTTTGACTTTTTAAAATCACTCTTCGCCCACTTTCCTTTATACAGATAGTGGCCATAAAATGGAAACACCTGGGTAAATGAGACACCCAAGTATGTTGAAAACAAGGGCTTCTACACAGGTGTGACTCATGCGTTCATAAAGCAAAAAACATCCCAGGATGCTTAGAATGATGTATCAAAAAAAAGGTGAACAACCCAGGTTGCTTATAATTCTGGTTAGTATGGCTACAAGAAACTCCTCAGTGACTTTGAAAGAGTGGAGATTGCTCGGGTACATTTTATATGAGCGTCAATGACAAAAACAGCTCAACTTCTTGATGTTTCACAAGCAGCGGTGTCTTAAGGTGAGGTCATGACAGAACTCGAAGGAAAGCCATCGACTGCAAACAGCAAAAGAAGGACAGAAGCACATACTCTAGGATCATGATATTCCTGCATTGATTCACAGTGCAAGCAGACAAGCAAATGCAGATCAAGTGACTGCACATTTCACCTGGCAGTGGAAATGGGTCAACCTGATGGTACAAAGAGGACTACCTTCACCATGTTCTTGACAAATTGACAAGTGCACGTGTGGTGTTAACCTAAAGCACCCTACAGCCCTGAGTGCTTGGTTTCAACATTGAAGGGCCCTGATGGTTCTGTAATCTTGTAGGGAATATTTTCCTGGTATGGTTTGGGTGTTCTCATTTTATTAGAAGGCATGGTCAGTGCTAGTTGCTACTTAATAGCAATGAGTGATCATCTTCATTTCACGTTGAAGCATTTCTTTCCTCTTGGGAGGGGTGTCTTCCAGGATGACAGTGCCCTCATCCACAGAGAAAATGTGGTTGTCCAGTGGTTTAATGACTATGATGCGTATGTCACAACCTCCTCAGTCAGCTGATCTGAATCCCATTAAGCATTTATTGGATATTTTAGAACAATGCCTTAGTATGAAGGTATGGTGAGAAAGTGTATTCCACCTCTATCAGTCAAATGTCAAGTTGATTGACTTTCTTGTGTCTGAATGGCATCTCATCCCTTCTGCAATAATTACAGGTGCTGATTAATACTATTGCACAGAATGTAGCCAAGTGACTTTACATTGATGTCTCTCCATGTTTTGTCCAGCATATGAATGTGGGAGAGAGAATATAAAATGACTATACTGTTGAATGGTGAATATTGCTCCCTACCCTTATAGATGCACTCAGGGTGAGCCCATTACCTACCTACATGTGTTTTGAGAGGTTTTGTCGTACACGGCCAATGTGCTTTCAGATGGATTGGTGTGATTACGGTATACTGCAGATCTGCTCCTTCTCAGTGACCTTTTTCAAGCTACTATCAATATTCAGACACACTCTGTTTAAAGCTGGTCTAACTGTAACCAAAATATCTATTTTATAAGATTCAATGGAGCCTGAGATACTTTTGGATTGTATTTTGAGATTTGTTTGTTGGATTTATTCTTTTGGAATCATTGTGTTTTTTAGTCTATGAGCTCTTTTGTTCTGTATGTGTTTTGCTTGTTGGGTTTTTGTCAATGAACTGAAACAGTGTTTTGTAAGGAGGAATGGTCTAAAATTCCTCCTAACCATTGTGCAAGTCTCATTAGCAGCTAAAGGAAACATTTGGTGGAGGTTATTGCTGCTAAAGGAGTTTCTACCAGTTAAGCATATTGTGTTTGTCTATTATTATGACTTCGTTCAAGATCAGACCACATTTCTATGAGTAATTAATGCAGAAATCCTGTATAATCCAATGTTGTTACTCATTCTACTATGAAGTTCTATGTATTTGAGTTTATTCTTTTCTCTCTTCTGTTGTAATAATAATACAGGTATTTTTTTTAATCTGAAAATGTTTATTTGAAAATTTTCAGTTTAAGTTCTCTATAGCGTTAAGAGACTCTTTGACACTATTTGCTGTAAATGAAGATATGCAAGACCCAAACACAGTGACATATCAGTGCTTCGCTACAGCTGTGTTCAGGATACAAAATACTAGCTACAAGATTGCTATAAGGACCACAGTTTGTTAAGGGAATCTGGTCTGCATACTGTGCTTAGCATTAGCTGAGTCTAAGATTATGGTGGCAGATCTACATTGCATGTTAGGGTTGGGGGTCAAAGACCAGTGTTAACGTCAGGGTTTAGAATTAGAAAGCGATTTTTGTGACTCATTTTCTTTAATGTTATTCGGATTTATAGTGATAAGCCGTTAACACTACGGGATATTTAATGGAGTAATTTGAGAGAAGTACCTAGCTCAAGGATAGAACAGCAGCATCCTGCCTGGGATTTAAATCCACAGCCATCTGTTCAGGAGCACAGACCCCATCCATTTCTCCTTTCAGTCATCTTAGATTTGACTTGGGTTAAGGCTACAACTGGAGCTATTTATAGTTAGAGCTAGGGTTGGTTTTGGGGCAGGAATTAGGGATATGTCTGAATCTAGAATTATGGTTAGGTATAGAACAATTAAGTTTGTCTGTTAGGGTTGGAATCAAAGCATTTTGACATGTTTTCTGTACCCACTGCAAACAAATAATATGGACATCTTTAATGAAGACCTTTACCAGTCTTGTTTTATACAGTACATCTGTATTTGTGTTGCCTTTAACATAATCCCTTGCATAAGAGTGCAGTGTTGTGAACTTTTATTTGGATTGAAAAATAATGTTAAGTTAATGACATGTAATCTTTTCCCTGTCTTCCCTTAGGTTTACATCATTAAAGTCTCCTGGTCTGATGGCTCCACGGAGATCATATACAGACGCTACAGCAAATTCTTCGATCTGCAGGTATGTTTTTCATTGTTCCATTTTTTTTTTAAAAAGGAGGGTCGCTAAAAGCAGAGTCTTACACCGTAGTGTTAGGCTCATACAGTAGCTACAATTCAACATTTAACTCTCGTTTGGAGTCTTTTCTTGTATCAATCAAAGGAAATCTGCAGTATTTTTGTATTATGTAGGGCACGTCATAAAACAAAAGAATGCTATAGCAACAATGGTTTTTATTTTTTAAATTCAGGTATTAAGTTGTCACGCAGTAATGGGAACTTAAATTGTTGCATATTGCTCACCTTTGCCTCACATTAAATTTTGCTGGTTTCAGTAACATAAAATGGAGAAAGCATGTCAGTGTTTTTGTGCTGGGCTTGTTTGTACATGTTCTTTCTAGTCTTCTGATACAGCATTCCTAGATAGTTGATAGAGCATAGAAGTGTAGAGGTTTCAGAAAAGTGCTTTGTTTCCCTTACAAATAAGAGTTTTTGCCTCTAATGCATATGTGGGTTTTAAACAATGCTTCCAAAAAGAAATTGTAGTAACGTCATAGTCTGCAACATAGAATTAGTCTTATTTCAACTTCTGTGATAGACAATAGTTAAGTTTTAAGGCACATCTTCAGAGGCTGAATTCATAAGGTTTTCATTCTTGTTCCAGTGTGAAAATATCAGGCTCATGATAGAAAGGTGTGAACGGATTTCAAGATATTTCTGTTTTCATCGACCTACCTGGTGTAGCTTCACGTTGCCACAAGATAATTTATCACCATTGATGCAAAGGTATCCTGAGGCCTGTTTCGTGGTCAGGGGCCCAAGGAAATGAAGCCAGGGGCTGCAGATAGCTACCCTGAAGAGCAGCCTGCCTCTGAAAGGATCATTCACGTTGACTTTATCACACAGAAGCACCTGGATACATTGCAGGCTATGCAGCTAAGAACGCACTATAGATCTATGGGCCTTTGATTAAATTGAAAATCTGTGCCATCCGCAAATCATTACCTTTTTATCCATAACATGACGATGTGTTTTAAGTTTTCATAACCTTCTTCCTCCGTCATTCATGTGCTTGAATTGTTACATGCTGTTGCAGCTGGATATTTTTTTTTCATTCAGACTGGAAGTCCTTTTTTCAGTAAATAAAATAATAAAGACATACAAAATAAATGTTATATCATAACTGCATAAAAAGTACACATTGTGTATGATTTGGCTGCAGATTAGCTTTTGATTGAAAACTAAGAATTAAATGTTTATTTGCTATATATTATTAACATATTTAATAGTAAGCAATTGTAGACTAAATGTTTTTTTTTTTAATGTGTGGGACTGTGAAAGTCCATGTGTGTTAATACATTCACTATTCAGAAATAAAACAATTTATATTATGCCCACATGTAGTGTAGTTGTAAATAGTTACTTTTCAGGCTTACATAAATCTGTCTACCCCATCCGTCTTTTTTTTAGCAAGCGTCTATGAATACACTAAAAATCTATATTTTGCTTGTCTCATTAGGAATAGTGTAGCTGCAAACTAAAGTGCTAAAGAAGACTGTCATAGTAGTAATCAGACGCCTAAAACACATTCCGTTCTGATGAGATGTGGGTGAAAATTATACTCCCTGTTGTGCTAACGGTCATCCGTCAGTGAAGAAAACCTTTACCTTTAATATGGCAAGGAAAAAAAGAAGACTGTAAGCAGAACTTTTTGCCTTTCTTGGCTGTTATATGAACCATTCAGACAGACCTATAAAATGTTTAGTAGAATTTATGAATTAAAGTACAGTAGTTTTGCAAACACCATATAATTCACGAATCTTTGTTTCAAGTATTAAGGTCAAAGCTGTCAGTCTTTGCCAGAAAGACGAACTTCAAATAAGTAAAACTTTTTTTAAAGTTTCAAAGAATGCTTTTAACTTATTCTTTCTGTAGGTTATACTACCCTTTAAAAACATTTTACAAATGATACTTTAAACATATGTATTTTATGTAATGCTATAAACAAGCAACAGATACAGTAGTGACAAAAAATGGAAACACTAAATTAAGGACTTTTACCAATTACTGTATATAGGAAGCCAGGGCTTCCATGTAAGGTTTATATCATGTGTTAATTAAGCAAATAACATCCCAGCATGCTTAGAATCATGTATAAAAATGCTAGACAGGCCAGCTTGTGTATAATTACAATATCGTGGCTAGAAGTGGAGACCTCTCTGACTCTGATTGCTGGGGTGCATTTGAGGGGAGATTCTGAGACCAAGATGGCTCAACTTCCTATTGCTTCTCAAGCAGCTGTCTAAAGTGATGTCAGCATGGAACTCTGAGGGAAAGACATAGCAAAGGGCAAAAGGTGGTGGAGTTGCATTCTCCAGGATCATGATATCTGTGCATTAATTTAAAAGTACAAGGCCAAACAAGACAAGTTCTACAGACAACTGGAGATCAAGGGAATGCAATTTTTTTTCTTGGGGCACTAGCAGTTAGCTTAAAAAAAACATAGTCCTCTGAATACTCCACAGAGCAGGATAGCATAGTGCTTCAGTGCAAAAATAGCTCATCACAACTGGCAGTACACATCTGTACACCTAGTGGTGCAAAGAGCACCAGCAATGGACTACTGGACAGTGGGGAAATGTGATGTAGTCAGATGAATCAGCCTGAAGAAGCCTACAGGTCTGAATGAAAGGATCTGATTGTTCCACAGCATTTTAGGGTGCATTTTCCTGCCATAGTTACGTACCATGGGTGCACTCATTCCCTTAGAAGGCAAGAATGTTCCAGCTGAGCATTGGCTTAAGATCGAGTGACTGAGAAGGCCATGACATATGGGTAACATCAGAGTCATGCACTTAGGCCACAACACATTATGGCCTCAATCCCTTATTACATGACTTTTTATGTTTCCATAGTTTTGTTCACTACCTGTATTACCTGTATATATATATAGATATTTGTGCTTGCTTTTACACAACTCAGTTTACAGTTTAGAAATAACTATTATAGAAAAATAAAAAGATGCAGAAAGATTACTAACATCCTTCATGAAAATTACTCATATACAGTAGTACATTTGCATATCAGTAGTGAATAAGGACAGGATTCTCTATTGCACAACAAACTGCATCCTATGCAATATTGTCAGTCTGGAAACAATTAAATAAAACATATGTCATCATTTAGAAGATGCTGAACTGTGGAAATCTGTTTCTATAAATAAAAGCCACACACTTAACGTACTAAACGTAAATTCCTTATGCAAGGGACTTGGGAAATTATCTACACTTCTGGAATTATTTTAACACAGCACACTCTCTCTTTTCGAACCTTTGTTTACTGAACTAAAAAAAAAAATCTAGAAAAGATTCAGTTGTAGTTCTCTGCCACTAGTGTGTGTTAAGAGTAATACCGAAAATCCTGTACCTGACCCATTCCTTTTTGCCAAGTTTGCTCTGGGTTATTGTGCCTCTTGAATTGTGTATGACTCCTATCTTTGTTTATGGCTCTTGAAGTAGTTTCCAGGCAGTGTTTTGGCCTTCCAATGTCAGGCTTGAAACATGAGACTTTTGTTTCACTATGCAATTTTTTTCTTTAAAAAAAATCAGTTTGCAAGACCATGTGCTGAACCAGCATATTGTGCACAGCAGAGATACAGGGGAAGGAAATGGAGCCTAAAAAAGGAGACTGTTTTAGCTCTAAAGGAAATACTTATTTTTTAAGATTAGCTTGATTTTCTTAGACCCTACAGCTTCTCTATGTTAGATCCTTATGTTAAAGGAGAAATGCATAAAAGCTTTGGAGAATATATTAAAAAGAGTATTAGAAATGTTCTGAATATGTAAAACTAGTGCTGACTTTGTCCCTCAAACTGAGTATGTTCCGTTGAATCATTACTTTACTACTTCAGCCCATATCTGAACATTGGATGAGTATACATCAATCCATCATTAAGCCAGCCATAACATTTTTTAGTTTTTTTGAGCCTTGAAAAACTAATTAGCAGAAGTTGCCAATGTGTTGTGTAATGGAAGACTCTATTCCTTATGAGTAAAGTTCAGTAGGGGATCAATTTGATGTTTGGTTAAACAGTTCTTTTTCAGGGAGTAAGTGAATCAGTTTTTGGACTTTTCCTGTTGACAGTAAAATGATTTACTGATTGATGAGCAACAGTGCGAGAAAGTAAGAAAGACAATGATAGGTTTCCTTTACTATGTTTGACTAATGTGGTGGGTGCTTGTAGATGAAATCAAAGGTATATCCAATTTTGAAGATCACTTAAATTTTGAAATATTATTTGAATATCAAGATTTGTTCTGGAAAGGGAGCAGAAGTGCCAAGGTTGTCAACCACTTCCGGCCTTTGGAGATTGGGTGCTGCACCTGGCCCGTTTCCTTTAAATGCCAAATAGATTTATTACTTTTCTATAGTTTTTTTCTGGAATAAATGGCTTTGTTCTCTTTAGTCGTGAAGTCTCATAAGCTATGAAAAATAGTGTTCATTGTCTTAATTTCCAGCTCTTGAGTGTCTTGCTTCAAGAACCTCATGCAAAAGACTTTTGTCTTTTGAGATGCCTGACAGACAGAGCCTGGAGCCAGATGTTAGCAAATGTACAATGTACAATGTTAGCAAATGAGCCAAAGCTCTGGTATGTCTTTTAAATGAAGAAAATTGCTTATCATATTTTCCTCTAAAAAGTGTTTTCTTCTACACATAATACAGCCACATGGGTATCTAAAATGGGGTCAGTTTGCTTGCATTGCCAGACGTTTAAGCTATATGTCACAAGTTTCTCTCAAAAGCTAATGGTTTGATGAAGGCTTGTCTTTGTCAACAGTGTTACTGCAGTCTAGTTTCAGTTTTGTGGCTGCATATTTTGTTCTGGATTTCCTCAGCTCTTTGTTTAAAACAGTGCTGCATGATCTCAGTTCTAAATGTACCTCTTCATAGTTTCCATTTGTGTCTTCTCATTTGTGTTTCACAGTTGTTTCTGAAAAAGTCCACTTGGCTGACTTCATCAATTCCGACTGAAGATTTTGAATAGTTTAATCAGGTTTTCTCCCCAAGGCTAAAAAACGTAATTTATTTGAGCCTTTCAGAGCAAGACATTCCTTCATGCGCAGGAATGTTCTTAATCTGGTCACTTTGTTTTCTAGATTGATTCCAGTACAGGAACACATTGTTTGTAACAATGTTCTAAATGAGGTCTTACTAATTACTAATTATTTAACATCAGTGCATTTAAATTCCATACTTTAAAGTGTATATATAACATAATATTATATTCTGTTGAATATTGTCGATGAAAAGAGTTTGGTAATATAGACACGAGCCATTTGTCACAGCCGGTTGAGTTTCTAAGTTTCTGCATTTCACATCTTGTATCTTTAAACAATGTTTTAACTACTTTCCTGGCATTTAATACTCTGACTTTGTCTACATTTAATATTTTCTGCCACAGTTTTCCATCTTGAATTTTGTCTTTATCTTTCTGGACTTCCTTTGTCGCTTCTATATTTTGCTAATCCTATACTGGCATAATTTCCAATTTTTACATTGTAATTGTACTTTAATACAGATGGATTATAATTGATTAAGAAACAAGGCAGAAGGAACATTTGGTATTTTTACCTACTTCAATCAAGTTCAGAGAGTATTGATAGAATACAGTTGTGTTAAAAGAGTTTGGGACTATTTTACTTTGGCTACTTTTGCCTTATGTAGGATGCTTATTTTCCTGCTAAAGCCTTCTAAAACCAGAAATTACAAATGAAAAGGAATGCCTGCTTTTTTAGTCACAGATGCAAATGTTTGTCAAGTGGAGCCAGTTTATGCCTTTTTTTTCTGTCCTAAACAAAAATAAAATGTTCTACTTCAGGTGCCCGGGTTTTCTCCTCGTAATCCTTTTCGGCTTCAATTTAACTGCCATTCAAAACAAGTGCTGTAAGAGTTTATTTATCCTTAGAAGTGAACTGTATATACTGTAACAATACCTGCAGTGTGTTTTTTAGTATAATCCTCATCATCATGTTGGAAACCATTGGAGCTCTTTTATAATTTAATATTTGTTGTACAGTTAGTGATGGGGCTGGTTTTAATCACAAATTTTTAAATACATGTGTTTAATTGTATGTGCTTTGACAAGTGGAGCTTGCTTTTCATGGAAAATAATCCCATGCTGAATAATTTAAGAATCTGATTTTCTTTGTTTTGCAAAGTGTTAGTGTTGTGTGTGGCCTTACTCACTAGAGGAGAATGTGGGAGGCTTAATTTTTCTGGATGAGGTCTCCATCATCTTAGCCAGTAACTGACAACTGAGAGCGCATCCTACACACAGGATCTCCAAAACAGCAGCAGGCAACATGGCCAATATGTGGAAGGATGTATGGATTTTCTGCTTTGAAAGATCCGCTGAGGTTACCGCTGAGTCATCAAGGAAACACTAAGATAAAGGTTTCAATGGTTTCCACCTCCTGAGATGGTGTTCTTCACGGTACCAGGAGATTGCTGTTATAGGAACATTGTGGTTATGGGTCTAATACGGAGCCAATAGCTAAAGAAACAGATGTGAATAGGGAGTCAGTCTGGATTAAAATGAGCTCTTCCAAATACAGTGGAAATTGTTTATTTTCCCCTGGCATTCAAGCACCTATCGTCTAAACATTAGCCGTCTGTGTGTTAGTGTGCATCAGGTATTGGATAACACACAAATGTGGATTTATATCCACGTTTTTTTCATCCTTGAGTTTGCAAGGAGAAGTTCAGGTGTGTGAATGAGGCTTTTGGAGGCTGTGAAGGTTTACTGCATAGGTCCATGCTGACGCGGGAGGGAAAACAGATCATGGCACAGCCTTTATGGCTCAGTGTGCTATGTATTATTAAGGGTACTAAGCAGCTGACATGTTTTATGGGCTCCAAGATGAAATCACTTCCGCTCCTGCAGCCTGGCTCTGGTCTTCATCTAAATACCTGGAGTTTTTCCAGGGTCATTGGTTTCTTTTTTTCATATCCTTTCCCATGTGGTGGGCATTATCCTCTGTTGTTGTCTGTTCTGAAGCCTCAGTTTCTATTGATAACTGAACTGACTGTTGCATTCCATAACGCATGAGAGGAATAGTCTGGAAAGGACGCTTGCCAGGGGGCGTCCTGCAAAAACAAACTGTTCAAAATGGTAAGAAAAACAAGCTATTTTCAGTAGCTTCTTGGAATAGAATGAGTAAGCAGGAACAGTGATGAACCATTCATATTGCACATGGATTATTTGTTATGTTTGAGATGAAAATTATTAGATGATGAAGACTGGCTAAAAGAAAAGCCAGGTAAACACCATTCACTAAATGCTTACACCAGTACACAGGAGATCAGGTGAAGAAATGACAAACATCTTCAACAGTTGGATTCAGGGGGGTGTACTTTGAAATGGGGTAGAAACTCTGTATACTGACTTTTAGATGGCCAGTTTATACATATCCAAAGAGGAATGTAGCCTGTACATTGGGTCTAACATTCATAATCTTTCTAAAAAAGTGCTAATTAGCTACTTAGCTAGCTTCTGTTACCACACTGTGGAGACCAGCAAAATATGTTTTAAAACTAAGCATAGGAGGCACTTTTTTACACAAAGTGTTGTGGGAGTTTTTGAACAGGCTACCCACAATCCATTTTGAGGAAGCTGACACCCTGACTCCCTTTGGGAAACTTGACAGATGAGAGCCTTTGGATCAATTAGCTTCAAGTAAACAAATGAGTTGGATGATGCAAATGGCTTCCTCTAATTTATAATCTTTATGTTCCTATAATACTGTATGTTTTTGTACAATGGAGGGTAGGTTATTATTCCTGTTTGTTTAGTTGAATAAACTTTGACCTCATTCCGTGAGCTATGGACTGGTGCCTGGAATATTGTTCTGGCACACGTCATTGTTGCGTGTTAATGAAAACCAAATGTTGAGGCTAGGAAAGGTTGATACATTATTTGCCTTGGATTGCTTGGTATTGTTTCTCTGTGCTATAGGCTTTACGCTTTCTACAATAAAATAATGGTGTTCTATTGTTTATGGAAGTATGAGGAGATACTTGAGGAACAGCACTGCCAAAACAGATGGTCCCCTAGAATTCAAACAAAAAATCCGGTGTTACTACATTTATTTTTCCCTAAACCCTTCTAAATAGTATCATGTACAGTATGACCTAGGAATAGTAAGGCAGTAGGGTGGGATAGTTATTAAGGTCCCAGGCTAGTAAATGGAAGGTTATGTTTTAAAATCCAGGGTGGGCACAAATCTGTTGGACCTCTGCTTAAGGTTTTTTCACATACAATAGATTGCACTTAAGATGACTGCTTCATAAATTTGTTCATTTGCTCTTGTTTTACCTGGTTAAATGTTTTTATTATAGGTGTGGCTGCTATGTCCCATTTCTTTTAAAGCTTTAACAAGGCACAGCAAACAAGACGATTATACTGTATAAAGAGAAAATATTTGCTATCATATAAGGTATTTGCAGAATAATGAGGATTTATATCCCAGTTTTCGATTAATCAGTCACTCTTTCTAAATGACTGACAGTATGTGCTGTAGTTTTTATTGCTTTAGATTTTTTTTCTTTTCTCTTGAGTTCATCTTAGAGAAAATTTGTTTTTTCGACACCTTGGTCAAATTTAAACTTTAACATTTGTAGGGTCATATATCTATCTTTCAATTAATATAAACAGCATTTTTAAAAAGAAGAAGGTTAATATGCCAAGTGTTTCATTTTTGTCAGTATTTTAGCTCCAGCTTAACTCTAGTACATAGCTCACCTAATGTGCATGCATAGCTTGGCTTTGGAAAAAACAGCTGTATAGAATGCTGTTTTATTGGCACAGGTATAGGAAAGTCATGTATGGTAGAGTGTGATTTCTATGGTAAAGTGAACCTTTTTGGAAAAAAGAAAGGTTCCACTGTCAACTTTTACGAACTGCCTATGATGAATATTTAGCAAAAAATGCACACAATGTGGATTTAAAAATCAATGATGAAACATCTTGAATATCTTCATTGCAGTATGAGCAACAAGCTCTAAATGTGCACCTCTTGCACAAAGATGCTGTATGGGAGAGAAAGTAAACCCAGTACATTAAATTGCAAAAAGAACTGTCTGAACTGTGCCTGTTTTATTTATGTATTGAATGAGAGATCAACTTCACTTTGAACCTAGGTTTTTGTCATGCAGGGACAAGAACAACAATTTTGTCTTGGTGCTTTTGCTCTTTAGTATCTTTGTTACTTATCTTTTTTCCAAAACAGCCCCCCTACTTGTTAGCTTTGCAAGAGCAATTCTATCTCAAAAACATGTGAAGCTAATATGTTTCTTTTACCCTGCTTAGTCCTGACTGATGGTGAAAATTGATGTATGTCCACAGCATGAGTGCTTTTATTGCAAATGCCATGTGATTTACGTGTGACACGACTTTCAACATTCTTTGCAGATGGAGCTTCTGGATAAGTTCCCTGTGGAAGGAGGACAAAAAGACCCAAAGCAGAGGATCATACCCTTTCTTCCAGGTAACATGAGACTAGAGAAAGGCAGCAATGTAGGGTACATCCATTACGAAACTCAACAAAATCTACAATATCCAGACATCATTTAAGTCAAGTACAATTGTATAACTGTATGGCACTATGGACATTGCACTAACAAGAACTGCAATACTACTTTGGATTTTGTGGAATTCTAATTCTAAAGTTGCCTTTTAAGTCCAAGTCATTGATGGAGTCTTCTTTCACACATATTTTGACACAGAATACTGGCACACCCCAATCCTCCTGAAAAGGATGTGTTTTTCATAAATCCATTCATTATCTGAACACTTAATCCAATTCTGGGCCACAGAGGAGCCAGGGTCTGTCTCAGCCAACAAAAAGGGATGTACCCTGAACAGGACGCCAGTCCTTTGCTGGGCAGACCCAGACACAAACACTGACTCAAGCGCACACTCACGCCAGGGCCAGTTTTCCCAGCACAAAATAAGCCTACTAGTACATCTTCAGATTGTGTGAAGAAACCAGAGCACCCAGAGGAAGCATGGGGAGAATGTACAAACTCCACACGGACAGCACCCCAGATCCAGAATTGAACCAAGGGCCCCAGCACTACCGTGCCAGGCTGTTATTCATAAATAATATTGTGACAATTCATAAAGTATTCCTGCTATCAAAAAAGCCATGTCTGGGGGTTAAGAAGCATCCGATATTTGGAGATGGTTGCCCTGAAATCCCTTTCAATCCAGTATCATGACAAAAATATTTACTTGCCCATTTGGAAAATGGTGTTTATTGACAATTGCTGTAATGAGAGCTGAACCAGGTGGAGCTTTGCAGAGGCCTTTTCTGGCTTCTCCTGCTAAACCAGATATGATGTTTCTATATGAATCAAAGTTGAAGAGGTCTGGAACTAATTGAGGGATCTATGCTGGGAGGAAGGGCACAACAATCCAGATTTCAGCTGTTTATTTAATTAACTCTGTATGTGGGGAGTGAGCAACTTGAATTTATTTTCCATATAAGCTTTCTGTTTTTTTCCATTTAGTCTTTTTTTGGTGTGGGCAGGCAATAGCTTAAATGTTGAGGGCCATATATTTAAAACCTTTCAGAGCTCAAATGTCCATAGAATGTAATGGAGATTTAAACACATACATTTTTTCACTAGAATTAAGTGCTTTATATTTTTTTTTGTATTTGTTTACCTGAATTTCATTTGCTGCCTCCTTGTCTTGGATTTGTTAAACAAAATATGCATTCTATGTATTTTTGGGTAGAAGGAGGATTCCTCTGAAAAATTGAAAAGAAACATAATTATAACCTTAAATATATGATGATCACATTAGCCAGTTTTCTTCCTTATTCTATATTTTCTTATTCCTTATTCTATATTTTAAAAGGATTTCCAAGCACAGGTGAGAAAAAAAAAAGTTAAAATTTTGGTTTCGAGATGATTCCCCCTGTACAAATCTTAAGTTTGATAGTGTCTTTCAGTGTCCTAAGACCTAGTGATAAGAAAGACTTCTAAACCCAGTTTTTGAGCTGTGTATTTCACCCATATCCACAGCAAATCCTTTTCATGAGCTACTGAAACCAACACTAGCATCATTCCTGAAGAATGGTGTTTTTTACTAATAACCAGCTGTGTATTTTGAACTTGGCTGCTTGAGGTGTAGAAAAGGGTTGCTGGTGCTTTCACAATTCACATGATGAAATGAGCTTAATAAATGCCTGATGAATGACTTGGACAGCGCCGGAAGCATCTGCTTTTAAATGTGCTGAGGTACAAGTAGCATTCTTTTCTGTTATTGTTAATGATTGTTTGTTCTTTTCAGACATGGATTGTTTTTTTCTGCTAGTGTGGAAAAACTGGGTTTATTGTTTGTGGGGTGTGAAGGTACCTGTTAGTAAATTGTGAAGCTGAAAAAAAGATTTTCCAGCACATTTTGGATCATATTTGTCACTTTGTGCAAACTTTTCAATCCATACTAAGTAGAAAACTATTTTGCCTACACTCACACACCAGGCCCTTTGTTTCCAATGAACACGTCTATAAACTAATTAAGGTTCAATACACCAATTAGGTTTAGTATTTCATACACAAAATTATAAAGAATAAATACGTGCTTTAAAATGAGTTAAGCATTTAGTCACATAAGACCAAAACTGATGTGGTTATTCTGGAAACAGGACACTATCTTTTTGCGTATTGTCTGCTTGTTCCTCAGCTGGTTTACATTTAGAAAGGACTCTTTCTTTCCAGTTTCGCCCTTGCCAGCTATTTTTTTTTCTTATTAGGAAAAAAGATTCTGTTTATCATTGAGTTCCTGTTGGTGTTGCATTGCAATGTAACACTGGCAGACTTCCTTCCAAAGTGAAATTTCATTTATCCTCGTGAAGGAGAGTTGTGGAAGGATTTTTTATTGGAATTTTGTCTGCACACAAGACCACATGGGCTCATTGAACAGTCCACAAACAGTTAAGCACTTATGCTCTTTAAAGAAGTAGAATGGTTGGGAAATAGTGAAAGAATCACCAATCTGCTTGTATTATGTTTTAAAAGAATTGTACAGTATCTTAGCTTTTGAGTTTTAAAGACCATAAGGGTTGAGTGGGAATTCGTGTTGTTTCCTATTGCATCTATCTGGAAAGATTAAAGTCTTTAAATGAATTTAGAGAGGTTTCTCTACTTCCAGTGAGAATAACTTTGTTTATTGGTATAATATCACTGCTTTCCTTAAATACTGTACAAGAAACTCTTTCTGTTCCGTGCTTAACCTCAGCCCACACTGAGGTTGTTCATTTTCAGGAGGGATATTTTAAAATATTTGGCTGAAGTGTTTGCAAAGCTTTGAGCTAATAAAACAGTGCTAACTTCACTGCAGTTTTTCCTTCTTCATTTACAAATAAGTTTTAAGCCCCTCTTCTATATTTTTGGACCACTGAAACAATCATGTTGTCTGCAATATTTTCTTATTTCTTCAGGACACTGAATTCATTTTTTTTTATTATGTTTTGCTTTGGACATGTAACAGAAAAGTTATTTTCACTTTCCCTCATTTATGGTAATTTTATTCCGGTGTATTACAGTTCATTTAATCAAGAGGCTTTAGATTTATGTATGAGCTGGCATTCCGCTATTATAACAGCTTTGTAATTATCATTACAAATAATTCAGAACATGTATTATAATATGGCTTCAGTACTGCTTTCTGATTTTCTTCAGCCATTTACTAGCTATTTTGCGGACAGTAGTGTGAATTACGTAACAGCAGAAAGACTGAGTCAGGACAATGTTCACACATCTCATACCAGCTTTCTAGTATTTGGACAGTGTTTTTGTAACAGGAAAACTAACTTAAGCTTCTAAGAAAAAAAAAGCCTTTTGGAAATGTAGGGTGGAAGTTCCAACATTCCCTAGAATATGAGTCAGGGTGTGTTTTGTACTTGCTGGACTGCATCTTCCAGAAATGCCTCTGGCTAGTTATTTACTATGGTCTCAAAAGTAGGGGAGGGTTGCACTGGGCCTATTGCTCATCATTAGTGCGCCTTTTTATTTGTTTTTGTTTTCCATCCCTGTCGTACTGTATCGTGTTGTTTTCATTTAGGAGCAAAGAGCATGTAGCGCTGAAATTGGAAGCACTATTACTCATCTTCTCTGCTGGCATTAACTGAGTGTGGCCGGGACCAACTCTGGGCTGTCATCTGGGCTTTTGATTTATACTGTTGTGCAATAAGGCTTGTACTGTGACTAACACCCATTTGCAGTAAATGTCTGCTTTGACACAATGGCAAAAGAGGAGAGCATGTACATTATGGAAAGTCATTGCAGCCGCCAAGCGTAGATCAGACCATCATGTAGTACAAAAGCTAGTTTGATACCATCTAGATACAGAACTGGTTAATCTCCAAGGGTTCTGTACAGGCATGGAAAGGGTGATTTAAAAGGTGCTTGTTTGTTTCCAAAGTTTTTTCAAAGTGTTTTTTTTTCTGGCAGGCTATTGATGATATTACAGGGAATGAAAGAGTGTACAGTATTAGGGCTTTTTCTTCTGACCTGGAGAACTTGGAAACTCATGAAGCAGGCTTTTACTGTTAACTGTGGGAGGTTTTCAGGCTCTTTTTTTCTATTTTTACAGAGGAAGAAAGAATCCTTTATCTGTTTTTGCATACCATCTTCTGGTTTAAGTAATGTATTCCATATATGTATTTCAAATTTCTGGATGAAGCATTCATAGTATGTTCATAGTAGTTCTGATGTTTCTAATTACAGCAGAAGACACATACAGTAAAAGCAAGTGTGCATTGAAACTGCTTTGAGCTTTTTGTTCATACTAGTCTCCCGACACTGCTTTGCATAGCCAGGGATGAAAAAGTGCATTTGCTCACAACTAGGAAATGAGTGGTTGACTGTGTAGGGACTTTTTGGCAAGATGGAGATGGGGTCTGTGGCCTACTGTACCGTTCCCATCAGAAATTACACCATTGGCGGCAGAGTGCAACATGCTGTGTTGTACAGTTTTTAGTCTTCCTCAGACTCTTGGGTTAAGATCACACTTCTGCTTTTTGTTGGCCCAGCATTTTTGCTAGAGTAGATAGTTGCCAATAAGAGTCCAGACTCAGCTGTAAGAACTGTAAGATGAGAGATTTGTACTGTGCTCCACACTCCTGCCAAAACTCTTCTATTGTTTGCAGACTTGTTCTATTGCAGACTTCCGTTGTTAGAATTTTGGATACATAGTGAAGACAGCGGTGTTCTCCTTTATGTGCTAGTTAACATTTATTAGGAATTTTAATTAAGACTGATAATGTCTCCTTTAATTCAGTTTGCTGGGAAAAAACTGCAAATGCAGCCTCTTAGTCACTCCTTAACTTTTCCCATGGCCTGTGAATTTAGTTGAATCAGTAGAAGTAACAGGACTGAAGGAAATAGCGGAAATTAAATATCCTTTGTAATGTGGAAAGACACGTCATTAGGGTCTTTTCTCACTGAAACATCTGGAATAAAAGGTGTTACATACTGTAAGGTTAGTCTCAGGAAGTCCATTATAGTGAATTGTGTCTTATTAGCAGCCTAATGAAAGGTTATGATACTTTTCTAGATTTGTTTCCAGTCTTCCGTTCAAATCTTTTTTTAGTCTTTTTTAGGTTACATGGTTCTGATCTATTTAACTTTTGGGACCTTTTTTTAAGTTCCTTATGTTCCTCATTAAAAGCCATCTTTTAAAGGTGCTTAATGTGAAATTTGAGGTATTTCGGAACACTGTTGTTTCTGGTGTATGTCGTTGTCAGTGTTTGTGGATTTAGGATTTTGCTCGACTATTTTATTCACCATATTCATCTTCTTGGCTGTCCAGTTTGACACACAAAGACAAGCAGACAATGCAGTTAACTTAAGCCATGATCCTCCCAGACTGTAAACTTGCTAAAAAAAAAAGAAATCTCTGTTTTAGATGTTATTCATTTCATGTTATTGTTATGTGAGGCAACACATACATAATGTTAACAGTTTACCTGTACAGATAATAATTACTTTAATCATTGTTATGTATTTCATTGTGTGATATAACATACATTTGCAATACGCGAACAACTCAAAAGCTTGCAATACTTTTGCTAGTGTTGCATTGCATTGTTAGCATTCCCTGACCTTTATTAAAGCCATCAGAGGTTTTCGTCAAGAGCACCTAATTTGTCAACCTGAGGTTCCCATCTGCAGAATTATAAACGTGCGCAGTGAGTCTCCATCATGTTTCTTGGCTGTTCTTGTTTGTGACATTTCTAGTGTGTTGGGATTAAAAAGGGGAGGGAATAGTTACAATTACAATAAAGCACTAAGATTGATTTAATGTTTAATATTGATATAGAGTGAGTTTATTTAAATGAATTGAAAGTGCTGCTAAACAACATTGTTAAAACCAGAGGACTATTTTATTGGTGCCTAATAAAACAGAAATTTTCATTCAGTTCATTAAAGCATCACTAATTTTTTTGAATGTCTTCTCTCTGGCCCTGCGATTGACAGGTGTCCCACATTGTACAGTATATACCACCTAGCACCTGTTGCTTCCTGGGTTAGGCTCTGGCTTGCCCTGTGACTCTGTACGGGATAAAGTGGTTTAGAAAAAGGGTGGATTGATGGACTTCTGTCTAAATGTGTCTTATATAATTAATTTGTAAAATTTAGAACATCCAGTTCCTTTTTCTAAGTTTTTTTCTTTTTCTCCGATTTGGAACTACCCGTTGTACGTTTGATTGGACAGGGTGCAGGGGTCACTGAATGCTCAGAGGCTCGAATGACTTACTGAATACCTCCTTAGCCTTGATGGCCCTTAGGCAATTGTGTGCTGCTTGGGGAATACGGGTCACAATGAAGTGACATGTCACAGTACTGACGTGACCCAGGCTCGAACTCCTGATGATTGAGCTTGGATTAAGGCATTCCTTGTTTGAGCGACTCTGGAGGCCTGTACAATCAGCTTAAGTGCCATTCATAACTTTAATGGAAAACATTTAGCCCTGTGCTTTAATAAAGGTGACCTAAACACTAAAGGTGACACTAAAGGTGACCGAAATACTAAAGAATGGTTTACATGCCAAGTTGATGTTCTGTGCAAAGATGTGGTCTACATAATTTTGCTAAATTGACTCAGCCCCTGCTCCTTAATTGAGCAACATTACTTTTCTTGAAATAACCATAGCTCCTTCATTGCTTCGTAAAGGATATTTCATGTATCACAATCCAGGGTCAACGAACAGGCTGTCTGTTTTGGTTTGACCCATACATCTGTCATGGAATTATAGCTGAATTTACCCGCAGCACTTCCAAAAGTAATTCAAGTCATACTAACTAAAATGTCAGTGGTTATGCAAGTCATGTCTAAGCAAACAATTTCTTTGTCTTCTGTTTTCAGGGAAAATCCTCTTTAGAAGAAGTCACATCAGGGATGTGGCAATGAAAAGGCTGCGACCTATTAATGAATACTGTGGGGTAAGTGGAGGGCAAAGCTGGTTTACAGTTCTAGGGGTCAGGTGTGTACAGATCACTAATAAGGACAGATGTAACTATGATAAAGTCTGCCATCTCAAAGAAGTGTCCATCTCAATCAAAAGTGAAACAAGCTCATTGTCACTTCTTGTGACTGAGTGGAAAATTAAAAACACCCTTTTTTTGTCAGAGAATGAGCTACTGTATATTATCGACAGTTTTAAGGAAGAAGGTAAAAGCTATAATTCCATTTACCGGGTCTCATAGCTATTAAGTAGGTAGGTTTTCTGATGGACAGTTAATTTATCTTTCGATTATCTTAAATTTGATTCTGTTCATGTTTGGAAACATTGGAAAAAAATTAAGATACCATTGATATTCAGCATTTGTAGAAACCTTATTTGTAAGAAAGTATATGAAAAGCAACTTGAAATGACATCATTATCACTGTAAGTAAATAGAAAAAACAAGGCCTGCTATCAGTTCCCACCAAAAAAAGAAAATTGTGCACACATCAAGGTCTTTGTGCCCTTTTAAGGCAATCTGGAGCTGTAGTTTATGAAGGGATTTTTTTGTCCCCTTTTTCAAATAAAACAATCATTCACGAAATTGCGTGTCTTAGAAAGCCCGGACATTCTTTGGTCCTGTTTTACTGGTAACACTAAGAAAGGATGCCAGATTTCTTTGTACACAAATTTTCAACAGTGCCAGGTTTTTCAGAGTGCTGAGGTAGCCCTCGTCAGCACATCAAATTGCATTCAATTTAATGGGTTTAAAGCCCAATTTAAACCAAATATGCTTTGTTTTTCTTGGCTTAGTTGACTCTAAAGGTGGCCGTTAAGAAAAAGTGTTCTTCCCACTTGTAAAAACAGTGAACTTCAGACATCTAGCCGGTTAGCTCTTCTTGCTCTCTTGTTTATGTGATTTGCCAGACAGAAGTGGGGAGACGGGGAATTTCTGCTCGGGGAGGGTTTGCGGTCTTTGTGCCCTGGGGAACCTTTTTACAAAACAGGAATTTAGGAAGGTTTAGAAATCAGGCCATCCCAGTGTTACTGCTGGGTTTAACCCCTTAAGTGCATGAGGAGAAATTACATAGTTATACCAAGTGTGCATGCACAGTCACAAAGTGTGAGCACTGCATACAAAAAACAGGTTACACTTAAGGTGATGCCTGTCTGCAGTAGGGGTAAGCCTTTTCAAAATATAATTTATAATTAAATTTGTAATTTAAGTTTATAGACCTTCTACTTTGTATGTTACAAAGGTTGATTAGGATAACCAAAGCAAAAGGGATTCTTTTTAACTGTTGTGTAGAATGTTAGAAGCATGCTATTTGTCTTAAAAAAGTACATCTTACATTAATACAGTCAGTACAAATAGAAGAAAATGACTGAGACTAGTTTTGCTTAATGTGCATTCTTTCCACATTATCCAGCACACAAGAACCCTCAAGAGCTTCATTCTTATACTATGTGGCTTGAATGTCTTTTACGCACTGCTTGTCTTCAGCCACAGAGCAGCTAGATAGATTTACATTCAGACAAACTTCCCCCAGTGAACATTTTCTTTAGAAATATTCCTAACTTCCTCCCGCACTGGTTTGAGTTAAATGGTGTGACATTAAAGTCATCCAGCCTGTGGTTAATGTGTTTTCCTTACTAGTTCTTTGAACTCTTGGAGAGGCTTTGATGCAGTGATCAAAGGAAGTGTGTGAATGTCAGTGTATTGCAGAGGCAGGGGGTAAATACTGAGGCTGTCAGCTTTACTGGATGCCTCCTCAGGCCTGTGAGGTGATGACGCTGACTTTCAACAGCAATGATCCCTTTTCAGGGTCCCCACTACTTATTTCTGCTGCACTGAAATGTTGCCAGTCTAGGTGATCTTTTAAAGTATTTTCTTCGTTGCAAAGTTTAAAAGGTGTATCATACCAGAGATGTTTAAGAAAACTGTCATGCATTTTTAAAATAAAACATGAACGCAAATTGATCCTTTAACTGACTAAGGAGAAATTTTCCCTAGGTCTTTCCCATCCTTGGATTGTTTTCTTGGCGCTGCTGTTATTGGCAAGTGGTGCCACTCAGCTTTGAAAAGGCAAACAATCAAATGGAGGAAGGAAGAGCTGACAGTGGGTTGCTTTTCAAATAAGCATGTACAGTATGGCTTGTGATTCCTTGTCATAGAGCACCTGCGTAGAAGGCATTAAGTCTGTGAGGATTCTCTACTCACTCAGAGGATCCATTAATCAGCTTGTTCTTGATCTTGAATGATGTATAAGATAGGGCTACCCGCCTTTACACTTGGCTAATTTTACAAACTTTCTAGAGCAATTTACATGTATGTCTCACTCTTATATAAAAGACAACATATTGCTATCCTTAGCTTTGCTCGCTTCTTAACTGTTGTACAGATTTATATAGATTTGCCACGTTTCACAAACTGGTGATGCGCAGTTGCAACATTTGTGAAGCGTAGATTTTGTAAATCAGTCTATTCATATTTACAAAGAATTATATTCACTAAGGTGTCTGTTTTGTTTGGTTTTGAAGGAACCTTAGATTGTTTGACTGCTTTGAAAAAGGTGGGCCCTGCCATGCAGTGAAGCCATTGGAGTCACATTTGTATTCCTTCTGGAAGAGATTGCTTTTCCTTTCCACCCATACACAATTAGGTTAATGCTGGCTGCTGTAAATTGCACCAATAAAGTCCATTTGCTGTAATGTGTTTCCATGGCTTTTAAATCTTAGGGGAATGCTAATGAGGGGAGAGTTCATTGATGACTTGACGAGGGAGGTTGCGTTTGGGGGTAGGGAGGTGGATTCATCCTGGATTTGAAGTCTTTTATCCCCAGCCAGAAACATATCTTTAAGGATTCAGGTCAAATGGGAAATAGAAGTTCAGTCTTATAAACAAAAAAAAAATAGAAAATTATACTCACTTGGTCATAAATGGATTGCCTAATGAATTTTTGCTGTCTGTAGCATTTATCCTACTGTCTTTTTTGAGAATCTGGTATGGATAATGAATGCTGAGATATTAAGAAAGTGCTGTTTTCACTTCAAAGGGCACCTTGAGCTAGTTCATATTTATGCCACTCAGGTTGTAATACATAATTTAAAGAACAGAATAGGCTGAGAGGCTCTTTTAACCTTCTGCAAGGACAATGCACTGTGGCTTTTAATCTTATTAAAAAGGCTGACTTTTTTTTCTTCAGTATATAGGGGAATGAAAGCAGAAAAATATGCAGCTTTAAAATTTAAGAAGATATAGAGGGTAATGTATGTAAGCAGTTAATTTAGTTTATACATTTTTTAGATGGGGCCAAAACACCCTTTATTCAAGTTGGATTTCATCTTTGTTATTATGATTAATCTGTATTAAGTATATGTACAGATGTGTGCAAATTTCCATGTGTGAGTGAGAAATTGTTTACCAGTGCGCACTATGATGATAGCATTTAATCTTCTAGTTGGTAGCTGATGTTTCACTGTGTACTTTCCAGTTTCCTTTTTGACCCTTAGTATATACAAAGGAAAACTCCCAAGAAAAAAAACATACTAGCGGTTATTTCATATTCCATGTGTTTTTTGTTTCTGTTTCACTTTATCATTAGAATCTCCCCAATGCTAATTAAAGTTGTTTTTGATATCCAGGGCTGGGTGCTTTCCCAGAAGAATGATAAATTAGAGGATTGGTGCCTTTAACCAGGAATAAGACAGAAGATTAATACTATTTGGCAATTTTGACAAGTTATTTACTCTAAAATGAGATGAACAGGACAGATACACTTAATGAAGTTGGAATCAGAATTATGTAAAGGGTGGGGTGTTTTTTTTTGCTACAAATGTTACATCTTTACATACCTAATCCTAACCTTTGCTGGGATTTCAAATGAGCAGTTCTGCAATCAATATCTGAAGCCCTCCAGTCATCGGGTTTTGACATGTACCCCAAACCAAAATGTATGAGGGGTGAAACAGTCAAAACCATTGATAAAAACTCGTGCAAATGTATTAGATTCAATAATGTTTGGTTACAACTTTTGATCCGACCGACTCAGTTTTGGGATGCAGTTACTGAGCGGTTCACCGTGCTGTGTATTTAACAACAATACAAGGTTCTGATAGTTACTGTATGATGCTTTGGATCACAATCTTTTTCAAAGTGTTGCAATAATCCTTGATTAAAAAAAATAATAATATTCTGGGTTCTGTTCTTTTCTGCAGGCTTTAATCCAGCTGCCAGCATACATTTCTCAATGTGAGGAGGTTCGCTTGTTCTTTGAAACCAGACCTGAAGACCTTAATCCTCCAAAAGAGTAAGTTCTCCAATAGCCGTTGGAATCTGGAATAGGCCTTATACGTTTTTTGTAATGAGGGGATGGACTCCTTCAGAGATATTAAGCCTGCAGTAGTGTTAAAGTGTAAAGGAAACAATGAGGTTGTCTGCTGCAACAATGTCTCTGATTTATATTTTTTATAAATTACATAGATTTACTCTACTGTTTTAAGCATCTGACAGATCTAATGTGTGACCATGAAATTGCAGAATTTTACAGAATGAGGTAGCTCTCTTGCATTTGCTGGAGTGTGATTCAGTGTTCTGGTGGTTTGGCTATACAACTGAGTGAACCAGGGCTTTCTGGAGAAATGCATCTTGCCTCCATGTGACTTTTACAGTTTGGATGGAAACAAATAACTGCTATTACAGCACTACTTTCTAAATGAGACATTCTCATTTACAGATAAAAAAAAAGTTCTAAGTGAGTTTCTATAGATGAAATGAATATTTTATAAATGTGCCTGAGTAGTCTGCTGTTGTGCACTTAGAATTGTGCACTTAAGTCCATTCTATGACAGTAACTATTTTCAGTAGAATTGATTGATGTATTGCTTGGATTTTGCTAAAAAACACTTTAAAATATTTTGTTTTCACCCTGTACCAACCTGGTCATTGAGTCAGTGGAATTTTTAAGTGTCTTTAAATCACCAGCACTCGAAGAGCTACAGTAGGAGAAGCTTCTAAATCAGTCCAACTAAGCCATTAACCAGCACATTTACTGCTGGTTTTCAATGAAAACCTGTAGACTCTGTAACTTCTGCCTTCCAGTTACAGAAATAATATTAAGAGAGAGACAAATGAGAGATAGGAGACAAATGATGTTTTTTTAAACTATTTAGTCTTTTTGAAAGGACAATTTCTTATCCTAAAAACAAGGTTGGCTGTTGCCTCAGAAGCAAATGTCACCAAAGCATTTTTTTAAATGTAAATGATAGTCTTTTCTTTAAATAATAAACGTTATAAGAAAAACATCCTGTTTTATCCCAGCTATGACACCAAGATATGTACAAGTGGTACAAATGAGAATAACAGTCTGCAAGAGAAAGGACTGATGTTTTAACCTGATAAATATCAGCAACATCTGTGATCAATGGCCTAGAGAATCTGTTTTGGACTTTTACTCTCTATCTCAGGCTTACTTGATATGTATACTGTGTGTATTTAGTTTAATGTCCTTGCATTTTTCAAGAATTTACCATAAACAGTTAAATATTGCTGTGCTCCTAAATGTTGGTGATCAACTGGCAAATTTTCATTTAAAATGGAAAATTTAAAAATAGGTTAATGTTTCTTACGTAAGAAGAACTGTAGCCTTATTAAATTAAATGCACTTGCAAGCACTAGGAGTTGGGTCTCTAACCAAGTGATTCAAGAGTGAGGGTCTCTAACCAAGTGATTCCTGTTTCATTTAATTATTTTGCAATTTAATCTGACACTGAGTAAATTACTGTTTTAAGATCAGCTCATGCTGAGCCCAAAGTGAGAATGTCATTTTATTTTAACTTTATGTTGTAGAGTTGATTAAGTAGGTACTGGGTCTTTTTATAGCTAAGACTTCACTGTTTTCATTGATTCATTAGATTGTAATAATTGTAGTTTTAAATTGAAGGCCTGTTGTACTGCACTCTTATTTCTGTGGATGCAGTATGTCTCATTACATTTTGTTTGTCACAGTGAAACAATAAGGTTATTAACTTGTCATATCTTTATTTTTTGACGTGTAATTTATGAAGAGAGGTCAACCTTGCCAAGGACATATTCCTCATTAACCGTCAAGACATTCTCCGGCAAAATGAAAAAAAAATAGATTAATATAGAAAAGACCTTGGTTTGTCTTTATTTTAATGGGATTATAGCTTTCCTTTAATTTAGCTGTTGTAATTTGACATTGTGCCAGGCCCCATTTAGCCATTTTAAAGAATGAAATACTGCCAACTATAAATCTCTGGTATAGGCCAGGACGTCAAACAACATACACTAGAAAATTAAATTAGCAGCTGAGAGAAGAAAAGCAGGTCCTCGTGTAGCTAATGATCGTAAAATACTCTGTGGCACAGCACCTGCATGTTAGCTGGTCACTTGGCGCATTCTGAGCAGCTGTGTGGGTTTTATGATTCCTGTTTAGCGTATTAGTTCAAGGAATGAGTCACCTTTTCATGTTAAAAAAGGTGTTTTGTTTATCGTCTTCTGTTTTTATTTTTAACTCCACCCAAATAAAATCTAATTTAGGAACCAAAAATGCCATTAACCTTTTTGGGGAGATTCTGACTTAGAGGTGTTCCCACGCATAACAGCTTTGCACCATTAGCTTCTCAGCATTGTTAAGACCAAAAGTCTGAGTCCACGGTTCCTCTCACACTGAGCAGGATTACTAACGGCAACATCACAGCATCAATAGGGTAAAACTCTCATGACTCTCTTTCCTGTCAGTGGGTGACCAATCCAACACTTGGTGAATTCTGGTTCACAACGATAAGAAGAGCCAAGGTTGAAGGATCAATAAGTGATGTTGCTGTGATTGCTTGGCTGCCACAAGCCTGTTATCCCTGTGGTAACTTTTCTGATACCTCCTGCTTAAAATCATAAAAAGGCTGAAGAATCAAAGATTGTAGTGTGTACTGCGCTGCCTATTGAGAAAACCACTTCTGCTACTTTGGATAAAGGTCTGAGTGTATAGTCTAGCTGTCAGTGAAGAATTGCCTCACACTGAGACTTTACTTTTTCAGTGATGCAACGCAGAATACCATTAAATACCAGGAAATAGTGTTGATCCCTGTATTTATTTTTATATTTTTACTCATTTACAGTAACAGCTTTCACATATTAGCATGCTGGGAATCTGAGAATTATAAATATCCTGTAGTTTCTGGGAAAGGCTTATGTTGTATCTAAGAATTACAGTAGATGTAAAATGGACATATACTGTACTATAGGAAAAGGTGAAAACCTGCAAACTTATTCCTAAGATTTCATTTAGTAAGCCTATAACAGCAATGACATCTGCAGATGGGGATATATTCCACCCATTTCTCAGTTTCGTTATGACAGATTACTGTAGCTGATCAGATGTGCTTGGATGAAGATCCAACCGTGGTGTGAGCTGTAGATTGGATTTTTCTGGATGTTTTTAGTAGGAGTTAGTTTGCTCTGGCTGTACGTTTGTTTTTGTTTCTAAACTACCACCACAGTGGAAACGAGGAGGTGTGGTGGAATACTTTGAAACCTTTTCCCTCTATCTCTCCTTCAGGTCTGAATTAAGATGTTCGTTCAGCAAAGTGTGTCTTGGCTTGAGTTTATCTGCTCAGCTTTAGTAAAGAGATTCAGCAACATTACATTTGACATTAAAATCTGGGCACAGCTTATAAACATGTCTCTGAAGTGCAGAGTCAGTGAAGAATATAATTTTCTCACACTGCCTGTAGATTTTAAGAAAATCAGAGCAAGACATCTTAGCTTTTGCCACGTTGCCTCCGATATGCATTGAAGTTTACAGAGGTTTCCTACTAGGCTGAATTTATAACTGACTAAATCAGTTAAAAAAGATTGTCAAAAGGCAAGCTTATGCAGTTATGCCAGAAATGTAATGAAGAAACAGAAACTATAGAGTATCCTGCCAAGAACCAAGAGGGATGAACAGTACAGGGAAGAAAAGTCCTGATGGGAAAAAAACATGATGCCATTAGCTGTGTGCAGAGTCTGCTGCTTGCTCTGTATATTGGATTAGAGCAGGGACACAAAACCTGGTGGAATATCAGACTATAGATGAATTTTCCAGACCTTTTAAACTGGTTCATGTTCATTTAAACCTCATATTTTGTTGTGGCACATTTTAGTTTAATTTGAATTATTTTAATGTTACAAAGCAAAGAAAGCATGGAAAACAAAGCAAATGAATTAAAACCAATAGATCAGATGGTACAGATGGTACAGTATGTGAACTATAGCTCAACTCCTCTCTTAACTGATCGAATGGAAACCTAACATCGTAAAAAAAATAATCAGTAATGTGTTGTCATCTTCACAAAATGTCTGATTGAAAAACACACTTATCACACACATCCAGTACACTGACCTATTTTTTAGCATTTCAATTTAAAAGCCTAATACAGGCTTTCCAGATGGCAAAAGAGCCTTTCACTTTCTATATACCTTTTAAAAGAGATGTTTTTCTGAGTGTCAAAATAATCTTTTCTGTCCCTCTGAACACCAGATCAGCAATAACTCATGTAAAACTCGTCCAGTAGGACCATTATGCACAGGAACCATAGTGTATGTGTAGAAATCTGTGTATCTTTCGTCCTTCTGCACGCGGATAAAAAAAACAGAACGGCCAAGTGAAGAGAATTTTAAATACAATTCCAAAGTGTATTTCATATTTAACTTTTCTACGAATATTCATATCCCATGTTCTTGTCTCTTGTTCTGCATAAAGATGAAATTTATAATAGCTCTTTATCTTTCAGGGAACCAATTGGGAAGAAAAAGTCAGGTAAGGCAGTTTCAAAACTTTTTTTTATATTAACGGGTAAGAAATGTTTAGTAAACATTAGCAGCATAAACCATTCATACTGCCGTTTCACTTCTTTCCTACATGAATTCACAATACATTTTCACTATTGACTATTAATAGCTAATGTAATTTCCAATTTCCCTTCTATCCTTGAATTGTTTTCAAAAATGTATTGGTGAATATATTTCTTATTGTCGTGCTTTTCAGTTGTTGTGCATTTTATGTTTTTTTGTGTGTTTTTTTACTGACATCATGATGTGTGGGTGGAAGAACAACTTAATAGGTACTGCAGTCATTTCGTAGGTAGTGTGAGCTATTTAAAAGCAGCGATTACAGCTCCATCTGCTGGTGAACTGCACATCAGCACAGTATAAAGGTTATATTATAATCTTACAGATTTTAAACATTTAGGGATAAGACTCAAATACAAGTAAATCAGTCTGGTTCCTGCATTCATGGCTCACAAATTTCCAGTGCGCCTCTGAAAAACGATACCTGAAATTGTCTTTCGGATTAATTGTTTTTTCCCTTGACAGCAGAAAAGGGCACAGCATACATGATCATTTCATTGTGTGAAGTAGCTTTCATTTTATGCTCTATTTTTTCAACTAATTACTTTTTTTTCAGCACATAACCTTGTTAAGAATGTGTGTCTAACCAGTCCATCTTTGTTCCATCAGTGTGTGTGTTTTTTTTTTCCCTTACACATGCTTTTCATTCATTTCCTTTGTCAGGGTTTGTGGAGAGAGCGGCTTCTTTCCTAAAGAGAGGTAGTAACAGACACTTGCTTGGCCATGCTCTCATTTCCCTATCTCTGCGTAACCAGTGATTTGCTTATTTGGTCTGATTCGGCCTTTGAGGTTTCATGCAGCTTGTAAAAAATATATAAGAAGTTAGCACTGAGATGGATGTATGGGGTCAAGCTTTATGCTCACTCACTTTGGTGTGGTTTCATGCATGGCCAGTGTCAATAGTGCACTCTTGGTAAAAGTTAATTTAGCTCAGTTTTAATTTATATAGAATCACTCAAGCCAGCTTGATTCTTGGAGGTGTTTTCACTTAATGTCCTGTTTGTTATTTAGTATAAGAATATCCTTTAATTGTGTTAATATTAGGGTATCTAGAGTTTGCATGAAATCCCTTTTCTAATATATATATAAATTGCTTTTAAATCCAGTGGGTTAACATGGGCTCTTATGATTCCTCAGGCTTCTGCTAATGTAATGTTAATATCATTAAGATAAGGGAACACATTTCTGATCTGCTCATTGTATATACAGGATTCTTTATATGCAGATTCCAACAGTTGCTCTTAAATCATGAAATACTTCAGGTTCAGGTTAATATTAAATGCATATTAGGAACTCCATTTAAGTAATATACACAAGCACAGCAGATGTGATAAAGTTTGATCAGATATTTGTTTGATTTGCTCAAGAGTAAATCAAAACAAACTACAAAAGTTGTGCTGTGTATTTATTTTTAATCTTGGACATTTTTTCCTAACACTTAAAGTTACTTATATTGTGAAATGTGTATAAGTATGTACAGTAGGAGTTTCATTGAAGTTTTTTCTTAGTTTTCAGCCACATGCATATGTTTCTAAAAGATTTATCATTTTATAACTTTAATCAGTGCATTTTATGGTATGTAATTATGCCTCTGCACAGCTACAGGAATTGAATACCTGGTGATTGCAGGGTATTTTTAGGATCTTACTCAGTTGTGTGGTTCCACTTAATGGTTACCTTTTGCTAAAAATGCATCAGCTGTCTGACTCAAAGATGTATTTCCTGTTGCTGTGGAGTCAGACTCTGGAGTCGTTCTTTAGAAGTTTGCAGGTAGGTGCTGTCTTAACTGGTGATATTTCCTTCTTTTGGTATTTGGCGGTTGGTTGTGTTTTTTAAATGTCTACTGTCACTCCTTTGATCAACATATCCCTCTCTCCTGTATTAATCAAAAACATCTTATGAAGAATTGTGGGGGAAATGTTTCCTGTCAGTATTTTACCAGAGATCTTAAAAGATGCTCAGGTACATGTTTGTGCTTTTATTATATTTATTATATTGTGTGTACCAAACTGAGAGATGTAGTAGCCATTTTGCACAGTAGAAAGGCTCTAACGTCCTACAGGCTTTAAAGAAATAAAATCTTTTCACTCTGTTCTTTTACTGTTCTTGAATCATTATCATCTTGTACCTCCTCTGTGATTATTTCACATTAATCTTGCATTAATACTCCTTTTTCTCTCTTGAAACACATTGTTCAGGGGTCCTCCCTTCTGTGGGTGTCTAGGGGTGTTCCAGTCCTAGCTCATGTCCCCTGAAGTGCCCGATGACTACCATGTGCTCTGTTTTTCTCCAGTAGGAGATTTTACGTCAGGAGACCCCCTTCTTTTAGATCAGTACGTAGCCGTGACTGACTATGAGAAACAGGAGAGCTCGGAGATCAGCCTGCATGTGGGACAGGTGGTGGAGGTCATTGAGAAAAATGAGTCAGGTAAGGACACCTTCATGCTGGGAGACATTGGATAACAGTGGTGCATCACAGAGGACACAGCAGCCATAAAATGGGAAAATTAGATGGAGAGGAGTCACCTGTTTTTCTAAGGATTATACTTGGAGAATACATGTTATAATCAAATAAAAGTGAGGTTTTTTACATATTGTAGCTTTTAAGTTAAGACAAGGTACTGTATGAAGCATTTTGCCTTCCTAAGTAGTGCTGGAATTGAGAATTGGTTTCATTAAGGGAAAAAAATGTCTGATTTGTTCAAACTTGTGTGTGTTGAAGTACTAAAGTACAGGTAAGGGTAACTTGATTGATCTGCTGTTGTATTACATATAATAATATATACTTTTGGATCTGAAGTAATTTATTATTGGACTTTTCCCTTTCTACTATTGCAGACCTTTGCAATAACTCATTTCTGAATTAAATCAATGATCAGGTATCGCATTACATTAAAAATAAATACTTTTTTTTAAAGCAGAGGAGTAATTTTATTTAACAGTAATCTGAAATCTGATGCAGGACTCTGGTGAGAAAAGCTCTTATATTTAGTCGCAAAACTGTTTACAATTAAGGATTATGTATTACCCTGCCTCCAGTCCGGGGTCTGGGCAGTGATCTTCCTCTTCTCCTTTTCGGTTAGTACTTGAAATCTCCAAACCGCTTAAATATAGCTCATGTCAAAATGAGCACGCTCTCACCTTTTTTTCCACCTTTGTCAGCATTCAGTAAACATGTGTTACCAGTGATTGAATCAAACTTCTGCTGGTCGTGAGAATCGGTAAGAGTCACTAAGGCTACATTGTGCAATTTATATCAACAATTCCTGTCACAGGCCTGTTCAAGTTCAGTAATCATTTCCAGTCTTATCCACCTCCGCAATACAGTGTTCCGTGTTCAAGCTCTGTTTCTCTTTTCTCCAGGCTGGTGGTTTGTCAGCTCAGAGGATGCGCAGGGCTGGGTCCCAGCAACCTGTCTGGAGGCACAGGATGACCCTGATGACTTCTCCCTGCCAGCCGAAGAAGGTAATTACCTCGGTTGTCAGACACCGGAATTAACTCTTAGAGCAATCTCCACTGGTCACTAATCAGAGTGGTCACTCAGTATCAGATTATATTAGTCTGCAGCAAAACAATTTGTGATAGGATGTTGTGGGAAACAAACCTTTAATTCCTGTTCTAACAGATGGCCTTGTTTAGGTTTATTTAAAAGAAAAGCAGGTTTTAGTCACACAAATCGATTTTATACCAACTTTATTATTCTTTATTTTAATTTTAAAATAATTTATTTATTGAACTTCAACAGACACTCAACATACTGTACATGTGAAGGACTAGTTTTCTTTTTACTGTTGGATTGGAGGATTGTGGGAATGTAAAATGGACTTCTTAGTAAAGGAGGCAAACTGGTAGTGTTTGTGAAATGCAAATGACAAAAAAGCTGCTTGTACTGGGAAAAAAAAACATGCACTTAAAGAAGCATAAATTGCTTATCAAATTGGGGAAGAAGGGAGGGGGATGTGACAATTTTTCATTTCTTCACTGGCTTTTTTGCCTTTCCCTGTCTATGATGCTGACCTCCTGTTTGCTTACTTCCCCTCTGTGCTGTCAGTCCCTCGGAGATATTGGTCTCTACCTAGGCACATGGGTCGCCGGCGAACATTAGGCGATCTGTTCAGCACAGGTTATGGGTGGACAGGTGGACAGTGTTTTGTCACTGTCTGTGGATGTGTAATTTTGTGAAAACAGTGCATGCGTTATGTTGTATTGCATGCACTCACAATGCATGATCCTCAAGCATGTGGTACCGCATTGACCTTTTATATATTGCACATGTCAAGTAATGGCAATTAGTTAAATAAAGGATTCATTACTAATGCTTGTTTTAAAGCATGGATGTCTCATTCTTAAGTATCATATGGAGCTGGAATATTAAAGTAAAATAGTGTGAAATTGCACTCGATACAGCAGGGATATATATATGAGGATTTCCAGCAAGCCACCCATCCACCAGCCTGTCATTATGAAACCAAATACTAAAGTGCACCCTTATGCCTGACACATATGTAGTATATTTATACTGAGAGGCAATAAAAATGCAATGACATTCTCTAAGGTGACATCATGTAATACATTCTCAGGGCATTTCTCTTGCCAATCTGAATTAAAATTAAATGCTTAAGGGAATTCTGTTGGCAAAGATAGAATCCCTTTCTCATCAGGACCAGTCACCTTGAACATTTACAGTACATCCAATGTCTATAATTTACTCATGTAAGAGCATCCAACGCCAAAGCTACATTCCTTCAGCACTAGATGGAAGGTTTAGGATTTTGTGTAAATGAAGATCTGTTGTCCAGGGCTGTGTGAGGATGCTGTAACATCATGCTTTTACTTGAACAAGCTGCATTACTGAGGAACTACATGTTCTCAGGTGCAGACTAATTCAGTATAACATCTTAGACAGGAAATAACTAACTCTGTCAAAATGAGATAAATTCAATCCAGATGTACAATCAGTATGTTTTAGATGTGGGGTGTAGGAGGGCACGTTTAAACATGCCACTTTATGTCCTGACATTGAGTTCAAAACTCCAGGAGTTCTGGCAAGTTGATGTTTATGACATTTGGAGGTCACTTTTTCAATGAACTATCCCTAGGGATGTTTTCGGCTTTTCAATTCCCTGATAAACATGCAGATCATTATTGGCCTGAAACTGACAAGAGTCAATGAAAGCCACTCGCCACACTTTCTCCTTCTCTCTCCTTCTCTCTCTCTCCCCATTTCACCATGGTTTGCTAAATTTAACAGATGTCTGCCTCTGGATAAAAATAACTTAAGAAAGAGGGAAAAAGATAAATGTATTTTATAAAATATGGCTGTCTTCTATAGCCTGCTTGGAAAGCATTCCCTGAGATTCATTGACATACTTAAGTCAGGAGGAAGGGCTCTCACAGAGGTTCCGGTTATGAAAAGTAAAGAAGATGAAGTACTGGTTTTTGTTTGTCAAATTTAATCCTTTTCTTGTGCTGTGCATGTGATAAGTGCCAAATGATGTAATAGCTACTGTAGAGATGTTTCTCTATTAATGAACTTTTCTTTGCATTTTTGATACTTGTTAGGCAAAGTGGAAAATAAAAAAAGTAGCTGAAGTTAACTCACATCTTCCATTAAAGTGGAACATTTAAAGGCCTATCAAACGGTTTTCCTTCATTGACCTCTTATGCTTGGTTACACATGCTTAATAGAAATGTCAAACCAAATTCAACACTTTATTGGAAAAACTTATACCCACTTAAATGCCTGTGGAAAGAGATGAGCAGTCATGTTTGAAACAAGCATCCTCAACCACTAACTGTCACAGAGATGTTGCCTCCTTGTAGAAGTATTGCACTGATCACATGCCTGTGTCAGTCGGTGACTCAGACCTCAGCCATGTGTCAGGGCACAGGGTTTTCATGGCATCTGTTATGCCAGTGTGGGCAGTGATTGTTTCCTCTGCTTATTGCATTGGTAACGTTAACCAAGGGAGTTTGCCATATGAACCTTCATGGAGTTATGTTTTACTTGTGAGCATAGTTCCTGTAGCACTGCAGTATGTTTTAGATGCACCAGCCATTTGTGCAACCTGTGTGAAGTGCTTCTTTGCACAGACAGAAACTGCTAAGTGTTGTTATTGGCTACAGCCAACCAAATAAATAAAATGGGCCACATTACTTTTTCTCCCTTGTAACTTACTTTTATTAGAATTTAAAAACATAAAGAAATTAACTAGTTAGTTGTATAGTTAATAATTTTGCATTAGAGCTGGGTTTTCTAACCCTGGGCATGGAAATGCAATGATTAAACCATTAATAGAAGCGATGTTAGGATTCATAGAACTCTTTAAATGTTTTCAGTTCCTGAAGATACAGGGGGTTGTATGGTACATAGCTCAGAATTTCCCACCTTTTTTAGAATGCTAGAAAAGTTTCCAATCAATTACATTTTCACTTCAATTAAGGATTAAATTAAGCACAAATTTCAGTAGGAACAAACACTGCCTGGTTTGTGGGTATCTAGGATCAGGATTGGGAACCCCTGAGTAAGATATTTTAAAAACGGTTCTGTAGAAATCTTACTGGCTTGGGATGAGAACCCCTGACCAAGTTTAAAAGCATTTAAACAGACACCTGCTGTAGGTGACATGTAAGAAATTAATGTTGTAATTGACACTTCAGTAACTGAAAGGTGGGGATAACATTATAAGGAGTAGCAACTGTGCTCAAGGAAGTGGAAGTACATTCTATAATTCCAGTATGATTTGTTAATGGTTACTCATAAACATCAATTGATGGCAGTAACATAGGGTGACCATACTGTAGCTGAACTCAGACTATAAAAACTCACTGTAGCTCTGTTGTAATTTAGAACACTGTAGTGCATTTTTTATCTCACAGTTTTATTTTTGTCCTTTGAAACTACTTATTTTTCCTTGTTTTTCTTTTTCCAGAAGAGAAGTACGCAGTTATTTATCCTTACACTGCCCGAGATAAAGATGAAATCAATTTGGAGAGAGGCGCTACCGTGGAAGTCATCCAGAAAAATCTGGAGGGCTGGTGGAAAATAAGGTAAAAAGCCAAGAGCTATCCTATGAAGCTCAAAGTAGTGACTGGACCTTTAAGACGTACATATTTTTATACAGCATTCTCACAGTTCTTTCTATTTGCTTGTGTTACATAGTGCAGACTGCTAAAGGTGGGTAAAATAAGCCCTTTACAGCACGTATACCCTATTGTTTTCATTGACTTCTGTGTGAGCAATACGAACTCAGTGTCAACCAGTTGTATTGAATTAGTAATGTCTTTGCTTCATCCCCGTGGGAAGAAACGGTATTGTATGTTGTTTCTTTACGATTGCTAATTGGACAGTGTGTAACCCGGGAGCCCAGGTTGCTGACCACCTGCTCATTTGCAGGTACCAAGGTCAGGAAGGCTGGGCCCCTGCGTCGTACCTGAAGAAGGCAGATATCTTATCTCAGAAGCTGGCTGCAGGTGCTGCTGCCCACTCCAGCACTACAGACTTGGATGGCTTCTCCAAACAGCAGAATTTGGCCAAAGATAGCCGAGACCGTGACAACCGCTTCTCAGTTTTCCCTGACACAAAGCGCAGTAAGTGTGTGTCACGCATACAGCAAACACAGTACAGTTCACTGATGTGTTGCAATAGCACAATGGAAGTCTGCAAATGAGGGTTTCTGAAAATCCATTTTGTTCCTTATTGGACTAATTCACACTTCCTCATTTGACCTTTCCTGTTTCGAAAGTTGTCAGGAGGGTCCTCAGGAAGAATCTGAGTAATAATGGCTAGCAGAACCAAAGTTACATGTGTTCCTTAGCAGTGTCTGTGGGTCTTATAACTGATTCTTTTCCCCCAGAATCCTCTGACATGAGACAGAGACCCCCTCCACGTCGTGACCTCACCATTGTAAGAACTATCCCTTCTATCATGGATCTTTAACACTTCTTTCATTGATTGAAATAGCATGTTTAGAGTAGAGAAGGCATATGTACTCGTACATTGGAATTCTTATTCGCTCCGCTCTCTAGAGTCACAGTACAGCAGACAGCACCACACAATGTAGACATTACATTACAAACATAATAAACAATAAGAACCTGAACAATATATACGTTGTAGAGAACAATAAATATGTAAGTATAGATTACATATTTAAACACACTGAAGTCAAATACAGCTGTTCATAGCCTCTTCTGTTCTGCATCTTATTTTTTTAAAATTGCAAAATATTGTGATTGTTACATTTACAAATCTTTGACCACTTCATTGATTTATTCTTTTTCTTGGAAGCGGAGTATTGCCGAAGTCATCCGATATATTTGTCTTTTTTATTATCGCCTTATTTCCTGTTTTGTGTCATTTAAACGCGCTATTTCTTGTTAACTCCCAGCCAAGGGGACTGAACCTTCCCAAGCCTCCCACCCCACCTCAGGTGGAAGAGGAGTACTACACCATAGCCAACTTCCAGACCACCATTCCTGATGGCATCAGTTTCCAGGCAGGAATAAAAGTGGAGGTAGGACAACCTAGAGGTATAAAACCTGTAGCAGCCATTCCTCTGCAGTGTCAGTTCATTGGAAGGAACGTTCAAGTTGTGTGTGTTATACTTATGTTAGACTTCAATATTTTTATTAGTATATAGTATATTTTAATGTTTTAAAAGTAAGGGTTTTTATAGGTAAGGACACTACTGCCAAAAGTATCAGCATGCATGCTGAGCGAGATAGGCCCAACACATAATAAACAAGATAGTGGTATTTATTCTCCTTAAGAAAATCTGGTGACTTTAGAAACTGGACTATCATTCCTTTTCAGCCAAATTGTCTACCACGGCAAAGTCAAAGATGCTGTGTTGGTATAATACTGTCAGACATTTTGTGTGCTTTTCTTTCTCCAGGTGATCGAGAAGAACTCTAGTGGCTGGTGGTACATTCAGATAGATGATAAAGAAGGCTGGGCTCCAGTCACCTTCATAGACAAATATAAGAAAACCAGCAATGCCTCAAGACCAAACTTCTTGGCACCTCTACCAAATGAAATGGCGCAGCTGAGGCTTGAAGACAGCTCTCTCAACAGCACAGGTCATGAAGATGCTCCCCGTCCCTCAAGGCCTCTACCCGATGAGCCATCATCCAGCGATTCTTCTGCCAGGCCCAAGCTGAAGGATTGGAAGGTAAAGGATGCAGGAAAAGGCTCAACTGATAACAAGGGGTTTGTCCCTAATGCCTTTTCGGGCCCCCTCCCTCCAGAACCCACTTGCCCCGCAGCTGAAGAAAAGCCAGCATTGCCACCGAGGAGGGAATCGATAAATAAAAGCTTGGAGGCCGAAGCTGCAGAGAAACAGAGGCTTGACATGTCTAAAGCACTGCCGCCGAAGCCTCCAGCACCAGGCGTGATTCTGCCCATTATCCCACCCAAGACCTCACCTTTCAAGCTCGACAAACCCCCTGAGCCAAAAAAAGAAGAAAAGAACAAAGTGCTACACCTTAGAAACGAGATGGGCTTGGAATGCGGACACAAGATTTCTGCCAAAGAGGTCAAAAAGTTTAACCTCAAGCCGATCACTAAAAGCAAGGCTAAGTCAGAATCTTTCGAAGACAAAACGGAAGCAGCCAGTCAAGCCCCATTTGTTAAGCCAAAACCTCAGCTCAGGCCCAAACCCATCCCTGCACCACGTGTTGAAGCACAAGCTGAAAACAAGGTAGACATAACCAACTTGAGGAGTAGGCTGCGGCCTTCCAAACTGGCTGACAATAATGGTTCAGGAACTGACGTTTCCCAACAGGAAGCTACCAATAACTCCCTTAACAGTGGCAAAGGATCTGAGGAACACAAAATTCCACCCAAGCAGCAAAACGGCCATGGTCAAAATGAATCAGAGCTACAGAAACCACCTGGTTCTGCTCAGAGAGAACCACCACAAAGGCCCACTGTCCCACCCAGAAGACCCCCACCACCGAAAAAGACATCAGGCCCTTCCAGCCCGACAGAAACTAAAGCCCCACAGAAGGAGCTCCCCGAGTATAAACCACCCCTCTTGCAAGGCAGACCAGCTCCCCCCAAACCCAAAGCTCTTGTGCTGCCTCCACCCAAGGATGACCCAAAACCTAAAGCAGCCTTGGGACCCAAGTCGTTCAACAAGATGGAAAAACCGGAACCACCAAAAGAAAAGCTGCCACCTCTGATCAAGGATGGAGCACCTAAAGAAGAGCTTTATATGGCCATTGCAGATTTTGAAGGAGATGACCAAACCTCAGGGTTTAAAGAGGGAACAGTGTTTGAGGTGTTAGAGAAGAACACCAGTGGCTGGTGGTTTTGTAAAGATATTAACAGTGGGTCAACTATGGAGGGCTGGATCCCTTCCAATTATTTGACAAAAAAACCATAGCTATTGAACACAGTGCATTTGTTTTACGCTATATTTAAGTAGCTTTTTTAATTTATAGTTGTTACCTTTATCCTGTCATTTTATTACATTTCATTTGGTTCAAGTTAAGATGAAAGTTTGGCATAAAACAGCAGAGAAACAGCCCTCTAATCAGGCATTATTGGATCCTGTTTTCTGTAAATAAGTTATTTTTCAACTGGACACATTAATCCAGTTACCATATTAATAGACAACTAAAAATACAACTTAAGGTCCTGTCTTTCACCTTTTTGTGCCATATATTACTCAAGCCTTTAATGTAATTTTGTATGTAGCAAAAAGCTAAATTAGACAAGCAATATATAAACACACTCATATACCCATCTCTGTGCTGTTTTACTCAATATATTCTAGAATTGCTCCAAGCTTAAATGTGTACACCTGAATAAGGTAACTGTTACACCAAAATGAGACCAGTAGAATTTGTACCAGAAATGTTGTAGAGCAAAATGTACACAAAAAAAAAAGATTTTCCAGCCAGAGTAGGGAACAGGCTGTGCAGTAGAATACCTCAAAGAATAGTTTGTCATTCACATCAATAGAAAGGAACAATGGCAGTGAAAGTAAGCTTCTTTAAAGTACTAAAATGTGGATCTTTTGAATTGTAACCAATCAGATTTTTTTCTTTGCTGTGTTTTTGGGGTCTTTTGTTTCCCCCAGTGTCTTTTTTTATGACTCATCACTGAACTTTAATAGTGAGCATCCTTATGCACTTTTCAATGCACGTGGCAGTAGATCAGGGTTCATTCACTGTGGCTTTCTTGTTCTCAAGATGTGAAATATGCCGATGAGCAGTGTAGCTTATTGAGCTAGAACAATACGCATTACTTTATTAAAGTAATTACAGTGCTATTTTAAAGGGTTAGCTTGGAGCTAGGCATTTTAGGAAATCCGAGTCATTTCTGTGCTTTATTCTCTAAATGCTGTTTAGCCTTGTTCTTGGCTTTACCACATGCTGATATTATTCACGTGGCAACAGCAAACCTATTCTGATTGATATTGTCTTCCACAACAGGAAACAATGGTGATCAGTTTTTGTATACATCTATTTTGCATATAATTATCATATTCGATAACTGCAATGAGTGGTAACCCTCTCTACCAGAAATATACATCTTAGCTGTTTGTGAACATTTGTGTGTACTACTATAAAAAAATTAAGTACACTGTTAACAAGGTGCTTTAATATTTCATGTATAATGCAGTATGTTTTAGGTTTCTTTTTAAAAACACTACAATTGCTTGACTGGTTTCAAGCAAGGATTTGTGAGACACTTCATTTTTTTGGTCTTGTTTTATTTTCTGAATACTTCTTTAAATGAAGTAATTTTATCTGTTTAATTAGGATTCTTGTACCTCACATTGAGCCAGAGTGGTGGGGAACAAAGGTTTATCAATTGAACATACCAAGAACTGTGCAAACCTTTGTTTAAAAGAAAGACATACAGTAAAAGGCAGAGGAATGCGATATATGACAGACTGGGGGATCTGTACTAATGACATTTACTGACAAGGCCAGGAGCACAGTAAGCGAATAGTTTTGTATTCAACTCGATTATTCAAACACATGGCTTCCCATGGCTGCTACAAGGGGACAGCAAAGTTATCATCAGATTGGATAAGTTCTCCTTTAACATACTGTGCTATGTACAGTACCAGTCCTGTTTACAGGCTAGGTGCTGGACAGAAATCTGCACTCTCTGCCATGTGTTTTGCCTCACAGTATGTAATGAGAGCTCATTACTTAGTAAGGCTATTATTGCTAATGTTTATCCATAGAAGAAATATAAAAATCAGTAAGATCACTACCTGGTATACTTCAGAAGGGATCAAAGATGTAAAAAAGTTTGATTTAACTATTTTAAAGTTGTTAGAGCACCAATTCTTAGGATTATCTAAACATTTAAAAGGAACAGACTTTCTTTAAAGAGAAGATAAATGCATTAATGGTAAAAACAGTAACAATCAGAAAAGTCTTACTCAAGTACTGTTTTATGAACATAACCATAGTTAGGGCAGAGGAGTCATCAGCACCTAACAAGGTTCAGATCAATCCCCTCCCCCCCCCCCGAAGACTGAATGTCTGTCAGTGTCGACAGTCAGTTTTTAAATCTGTACATTCCGTGCAACATTCCTACTAAAACAATCAAAAGAAAAGGGAAAGCAATCAGAGAGGAAGGATGGCAGCCAGGAAACAGGATGAACATCAATTTTGTTCATGGATTTGGGATTCTGACAAGGCAGCAAGTGAGATTTCATTACCTTTTGATCCCTAATCTTCATAGGAGGTAAATACTTGCTTTGCAACTTATTACTGAGCCCATTACCACCTACAGCTGTACATTATAAATACTTAAAATACAAAGTCATGTAAGGTTGAATGGACCAAAGAGCCACACAGTCAGTTTCAGAAAATGTAATCAGCAAATATTTATGTGTATGTGAATGCATAAGTGTTTGTGTATATATATATAAACTGTATGGGAAGGTTGGGGTTACTTTTTTAAAAAAAAACGTTTGGGAAATTGTTTGCTTTGTAAAACAACCAAAAACCATTTCCCTCAAAATATTATTTTTTAAAAAATAATCCCTTGCATAAGCTCCTTGTAACCATAACTGATTGCAATTTACAGGTAATGTTCTCTAACACTTTATATATATTTACACATATATGCAAATGCATTATAGAATCAATGCAATCATATACAGTAGGAGGTTGAGAAACGTTCAACAGCAGAGGGCTCAGGGCGTCACAAAACCGTAAGGAAAATAAAGATGTCAAGAAGGCCCATTGAAAGTGTTGTGTCCTAGATTGCTAAACATAAGGTAACAGGTTTGGCCTCCTAACATTTTTAAAAAAAAATAATTTGTCTTCACAAATATGCCTTACTAAAAAAGCCATTTCCTTAAATTATTACATGTATGTACTGTGCCTTCAATGAATTGTGTGCTTAAGGGAGTCAGAGCTGTTTTTTTTCTGATGTACCAAGTACTGTAATAGCTATTTTTTTTCCCAAGAACAAACTCACATTGCACCTGCTTATTCATTTTGCAAATGTTTTTTTTATACAAAGTTAATAAACGTTTCTCATAGCGCAACCCTGTTGTCTGTAATTTGTATTGATTACAAATGGAAGAAAGCTGCATGATGACATTTGCACTTTCATACCTGCTGGTCTGATTTAGTTTGGAAGGTGAAAACTGGACATTTCAAAACAATATTTTATCACAGGACATTTGTACCGACATCTCATAAAGGAAAAGTTCAAAAACAGGATTTAAAACACCTCTACAGCTGTATCTCCAAAAACAAAGTTCAACTATTCTTACAGTATTTAACTATCTCTGTTGAGCTTGGCTCATAGTCATTGTAGAACTAATTATTTGTATCCTGTAAATATAGTAGTGGAAGAAATTCCCTGCAAGCATGGAAACCTATTAATTGTAAAGAGCTT